AAACAACAAAAAAGGAAGGATGTCACACATAATACTGCGTGGCGAGGAATCATGCATATTACAGACAGATAAACCAGGAAAACAAGAGAGACCAAGATGAAACGAGCGTTTCAAAGACCAGAGCACATATCCTCTTTCTCAGGGTCACGGAAACAGGATGTAAAGACTCACCTTTGCTGCTTCTGATTCCCAGAGGAATAAGGGTACCTGTGGGAAATTGCCAACTCAGGGCTAGCTGGGGGTTCTCCGAGCAATTAGCCCACTCCAGGTGTGGTTGGGGACATCCCTGCCTGAGTGTGACCATGAGCAGCCATGCCACAGCAGGTGTGGGAGCCTCCAGCCAAAGCCAAGGGTGGGATCTCCGAGTCCCCTACTCCATGGCCCTCTTTAGGTGCCAAATGGCCCCTCTCTTCCCACCAAACTAGTGCTTCAGTTCCAAGTTCAACGAATATGTATTGGCAACTCCGTGTGCGGTGCCGGGACAAGGAAGATGCCACAGGGACTGGCGGGCTCTGCCTCTCCCCGGCAGCCCCGTGCTCCCGCTAAGACGCGATTCTCTCCGGCCAGGTCTCCTCTTTCTTGGTCGCCCAGGTGCGAAACCTCAACGACAGCAGTAGCAGGCGCCCCCAGCTCTGCGACGCGGGCCTCAAAACCTGGCTGCGAAGGTCACACGCAGACAGGGACAAGGCGGGGGATGGCCCCGAGGCGGTGAGTGCCCGCTCTCACCCCAACCCAGACGCGGGGAGAAAGAGGCGGCGGGAGGGCACCTAGCGCTCCCGCATCCTCCGGGTATTCGCTGCCATTGCGCTTCCGGTTGCAGCCACCAGGGGTCGCGCCGGCCCCACCGCAGCGAGCGAGAAGCAGGTGTCTTAGAAACCCGGGAGATGACGGCGCTGAGGATAGGGAAATGGCGTGGTGCGGGGACTTCCTAGAAGCTGTCTTCCTTGCCCCATTTTTAGGCAGCCCTTTGTGTGCCTGGCGGAGGGTTGGAAAAGTGGGAGTCGCTTTGCGGGATGTGGGGTGATTTGGACCAGGAGGGGGTAATAGAAGGAAAGGGCTTTCCAAGAATATTGAGTGCTCCTGGGAGGAATCCTGAACAGGTTCCTTATTAGAGTCCCAAACTGAGAAACTGACCTGTGTCGCGCTGTGCATGATGTGCATGGGGGATGAGTATTTTATAAAACAATGTGCGTGTGTTCGTAGGTGCATTTCATGCCCTCCTGTTGTGTGTATCAGTATGAACGCATCTACACGCCTGTGCCTGTGTCTGTGTATGCACACTGTAGGGGCGTCATGTATGTGGACAAGGTATGATCTGTGAGTAAGCAGCTGGTGTATATGTGTACGTGTGCAGCTTTGTTTTTAGTGTGGGTATTTGTGTAAGTGCACGTGTGTGCATATTTATGTGCACACATTTGAATTCCAGGTATGCATGTGTGTGCCCATGCCTATGGAGCTTTCTCTCTCTGCAGACTCCCACAGTGGCAAAGATCCAGGTGGCCTGGCTTATCAAAGATACCCTGGAGGTGCCCCTGACCCCCAGCACCAAAGTGGCTCATGTCCTCAGGCAGTTCACAGGGCGCCTCAGCCCTGGTTTACAGGGTCAAGAGGGCAATGAGGACAAGGACAGCCTCCTCCCACGGTAAGGGGCACCTCCCCAAGACAGGAGCCTCTCTCCGACAGGGAGCAGGGAGAAATTCCGAGGAGGGGTCCCCGCTTAGAGCCGAAGGCCAGCAGGGGAGTTGCACAGGCTGTTGACCTTTCCCTTTCTGGGGTGGTCAGAACTGGGTTCTACAACCTTCTCAGAGAGCCTCTTGGCTTCAAATAAAGTGATAATAGCATTCATTTATTCCGTTTAACAGGTATTTCATGAATGCTTGCTATAGACCAGGTACCCTGTGGAATGCTAGAATCACAGTGACAAGCACAGTCAGGGGCCTTGGACTTACAAGTTCATGGCCCTGTGGAAGAGATAGACATGTGTCAAATAGCCACAAAGTCAAAATCAGGCAGTTCACAGGGCAGGTCACAAAGTGTATTCAGTTTTATAGGAAATACAGGGAACAATGTGAATGTAAGACAAGGCACTTGGTATAGTCTGGGGAATGAGGTAAGACTTCTAGACACAGAAAATTGCATGTGCAAAGGTCCTGAGGCAGCGTGGCCAAAGAGCTGAAAGAGGATCAGAGTGGCTGATATGCAACTGTCATTCCAGGATGCAAGGAACAGCTTGGGCTCAGGTGCCTCCATGATGGACGTAGCAGTGTCAGTCATTAGCAAGTGTCTAGTCCAGTTCTTGGACTAGTCCAGTTCCTCCTTGTACAGATGGAAAAACCAAGGCCCAGAGAGGGGAAGAGACTTGCCCAGAGCCACAGGCAAATTGGGAACAGATTGTAGAATTGAATTCATATGGTAATTACATGATACTTATATGATAACTATAATTATCATTCATAATCACACAATATTCACAATTCATTTTAACTCAGAATTTGCCCCTCACAGCAGGCTCCTGTCCCCACATGTCACTCCTCATCCTGCCACTCTCATAGCTTCCATTCTGATACCCAGCAGGTAGGGGCCTTGTGGTGGGGGACCCATGACCATCCCTCCCCGAGTGCCGTCCACCTGCCTCTTCCATGTCTCTGGAGCTGGGCTCCTTCGTGGCTCCAGCTTTCTCAGGAAGGCCCTTATGCCTCATCTCCCAGCTGGGACCAAATATTAGTGAGGACTGCCCCTCCCAGGCCTGGGGTCTGGAAGCAGTTGCTGGTCCTGCAGCCTCGAGCAGAAGAGGTCGGTGAGTCTCTCCTCTCTGTCTTGCAGCAGCAGGTTGAGGAAGTCAGCCGACATCGTCCTCTGCGAAGTTGGAGGGAATCTCAGTAAGTTCCCAGTGGGGAGTGGGTCTGAGCCCAGGCCCCTGCAGCTCTCCGACCATCAGGGCTCACTGGGCCCCTCTCGGGGAGGCCAGAGTCCACCTTGGGTTGAGCCTTTCCCTCAGGCCTCTGTCTCCCAGGAAACCAGGTAGAACCCTGCTGTGAGGTTAAAGGTCAGCTTGTGGCCATGCCTTAGGATTCCATCTTGGAGTTTGGAGTATGGCCTGGAGTGACCTCTGGCTTGGAGAGGGCAGGATTTCTTGCCTAGTGCCGTGCTTTTCAGTACCACTGCTCTGGGCCTGTGGCCATGGATGCCTTAAGGCAGTGGTTCTCAACCTTCCTAATGCCGCAACCATTTAATACAGTTCCTCATGTTGTGGTGACCCCCAACCATAAAATTATTTTCGTTGCTACTTCATAACTGTAATTTTGCTACTGTTATGAATCGTAATGTAAATATCTGATATGCAGGATGTATTTTCATTGTTACAAATTGAACATAATTAAAGCATAGTGATTAATCACAAAAACAATATGTAATTATATATGTGTTTTCCAATGGTCTTAAGCGACCCCTGTGAAAGGGTTGTTCGACCCCCAAGGGGGTCGTGGCCCACAGGTTGAGAACCGCTGCCTTAAGGAATTCTGCAAACACATATCCAGCTCTGAGGGGCCCCTGGCTCTGTGGGAACCAAGAAGGGCAGCTGTCCTCAGCTGCTTCTTTAGAGCAGCGACTCTCAAACTTTAAGGGTGTGTCAGATTCACCGCAGGCTGATAAGACTCAGGTGGCTGGGCCCTGAGAATCTGCATTTTAACAAGTTCCCAGGAGCTATTGATGCTGCCGGTGCAGGGACCGCCTTTGAGAGCCACGAGGCTTTGGGAGTAGTCAAGCATTGAGGGGGTGCTCTTTAGAAGAGCCTTGCAACTGCGGGAAGGAGGAGAAGGGGTGAAGTCTAGCCTTGGCCACAAGGGGGCTCTGGAGCGCCAACTGCATCAGCGTAAGGGTAGGGAGGGTGGTCGTCCTACCTCAGTGTCAGTCAGTCTTTGGCCATAATACCGCCCCACCCCCAGGCATCTGACGTCAGCGGAGGGCAGTTCTGAGCCAGGGGTAGCTGGGAGCCACAGCAGCCAAGGTTCACACAGATGCGAGGGCGGAGCCTGGCCGGTGAGGAGCTTCGGGTGGGCCAGCAGCATCTTCCACAGACACCACCTCAACCTCCTTGTCCCTGCTTCCCACAGGTGAGCATCGCCTGGACCCAGACACCTACCTCTTGGATCTGTACCGCGCCAACCCCTATGGCGAATGGGTCATTAAACAGAGCCCCACCTAAGCCGGGACGGTACGGAGCAGCCCTGGATGCCACAGCCCGCCGCCCCCGCCCCCGTGCGGTGTAGCCAGCGCGGGAGCACAGCTGCTGAGGGGAGGTCTAGCTCCTCCTCCAGGCGTCTTCTCTGCAGCGCCCCTCAGGTCCTGGAAGCGCTCTGGCTGGCCGGCTCCTCCCCCAGAGCCCTGGGGGATGCTTTCAAGTAGCCCTACAGCGAATGGGGGGCAGCCGGCGAGCTCTGTAGCCTTGGCCAGCCCCTTGCCCTCTCTGAGCCCCCTGGAAAGTTGAAGGGGGTTGGGCCTCAGGCAGTGCGGGGCTGACACTGTGGCCAAGAACAGCCCCCGGAGAACTGGAAAGAGAAAAACTGCCCTTCACAGCTCTCAATGTAGCTTTGCACAAGCTTGTGATTTTATAATGATATTTAAATTCTGTTGGAACATTAAAGGCACAAGTTAAATGTCACTTTTACTTTGTTCAAGTTTTTTTCTCCCCAGCCCCGCTCTCATGGGTGTTGTTCTGGCAGTAAGTTAACATGGGAGCTTAGGGAGGGGGATGCCTTGTTTCTCAACGTGGTCTGGCCACACCTTGAACCTGCAGCCACCTGGAGGGGCTAGAGGAGAACTCAGAAGGGGGAGGGATGGAGTCATGACAACAGTTTTTGGGGCGGGGGGTGCTGCAGGGACAGCTTCTCTGAGAGCCTGTCTCCACCTGTTATCTGCTAAGGTCCCAGGTCTCTCCCTTCCTCCTTTCCCCTGTTCTGGGTCTGTCTCCTCAGGGCAGATGAAGCCTCATTCATTCACTCATTCATTCATTCATTCATTCAACAATGGATTTATTAATCCCTTAATATATGCCAAGAGCTTTACAAGTTTAATTTTCACAATAATCCAGTGTCTCTGTTTGTGTTCCCCCAGAAGCAGACCCTGAGATAATGATGGGAAGAACAAATAGTGATTCCCAGGAAACACAAGGCAAGGGGAGATGATATAGAGAAGTGAAGCAGCCCCTCAAAGAAAGCATGATCAAGGAAGTTACCACAGTGGCCACCCAGAGCTTAAGTTTGCTGGAGAACTCTGAGGAACAACATAGAGGATATTGATCAGAGTTATTCCCACCCAAGGGGCAAGGGAGTGGGGTATTTAATCATCAACTCCTGTGAGTCATTGGTTGAGGGCTCCTCCTGAGGAGGGTGGGCGTTTGTTCCCTGGCACTGTCAGCCTTCAAGAGTACAGGCATAGTGGGCTCCAGGAGCCAGAGAAAGCGCTCCGGTAAAGAGATACAGATGCTGACAATTAGAAATTGGCCACTGTACACTGAAATAGTACTAGCTGAAGCGGTACTAGTGGTGCATTCATAGAACCTGCTTGACCCTGTAAGGTGATGACCATGATGGTGCTGATGCTGATGATAGTGATAGCAACGGTGTTGTGGTGGTGGTAATGATGATGATGGTCATTGTGGTGGTGGTGGTAGTGCTGGTGGTGGTGGTATGGTGATGATGATGATATTGATGATGGTGATGCTGATGATAGTGATGATTATGGTGATGATGACGATAGTGATCAGGATGGTGTTGATAATGGTCCAAAATTTTAGTGTCTTCAATGCTTTCTTGTACTTCTGTCTCTCCCTACTTGCCCTCTTAGCTATCCTCTGTAAAGTGGCCCTTTTTAGAACAAAATTCAATTCTACTAAAATTCAACCCTACAAAAAACCTTCCAGAGGGACCCCATACCACTTAAAATAGTGTCCTTACCCTGACCTATGAGGCCCATTTAATGTTTCTGATGCCCTTTCTCTCACGCTGCCCCTCCCTTTGCAGAGTCAGCCACGTGAGCCTTCTTTCAGTTCCTCAGACACCAAGTTCATTCCTGCTTTTGAGCTTTTGCACTTGCTGGTCTCTCTGCCTAGAACACTCTCCCACAAGATACTCCCATGGCAGCTCCTCTCACCTCCAGGTCTCACCTCAGATGTCCCTTCCTTCAAGAGGCCTTCTCTGACCATGCTACTTGAAGTTTTGCTCTCCTTCTCTCTCTCTCTCTCTCTCTCTCTCTCTCTCTCTCTCTCTCTCTCTTTCTCTCTCCTTAATTAATTAAATTAGTTGATTATCATTACCTGAAATTATTTTGTTTCATTAGTTTTTTATCATCTGTCTCTTCGACATAAGGCAGAGACCTTGTGGGTTTTGCTCACCTTTGTGGATATAATGGCACATAGTAGGTGCCCCATAAAATCCATCAGGTGAGTGAATGCATTTGAATAGCTCTCTACCCCTCTACCTGTTTCTTCCAGAAACGGTTGTCCTCACCACCTGACTTGGTTTGAGTTGTGAAAGTGAGGAAACGCTCCTGAAGTACCTATAGCAAGTGCGCATCCAGTGCTGTCATCATTATTATGAATTATTAACAAGAGCCAGGCAGCCTGAAATGGTGACTAATGACAAGATCGGCCCCACGGTTCCCAGCACCTGTGCTTGTCCCCTGGCATGCCTCATGCATCAGTTATAGAGTCAGCATGACAAGGAGCTGTGTGGATAGAGTACAGTTCTTTAATCTTGGCAGCCGGAGGGGCAGGTGTCCTGGTGGGTGCCAGAACCCAGGCCTGGCTGTGCTAACTGATAGATCCTCCCTTCCCCCAACTGGTGGTCAGGGTATGATGTAACCTGCAGCCCAGAAATACCTGAGTGACTAACCAGGTACCTTATATGGACTATACATTGGACCACCAATCCACACCTGCCAAATACCCTAAGCCCTTGTCCTATATGGACAATGCAGTAAGCCACCAATCAGTGTGCGCCAAGTACACTAAGCCCCCACCCCTTCCCATTCCGCCCCTCAAAAGGCGTGCCCACCCCTGCATGTGCTGCTGTTCTCCCCTTGGGAGACAGCCCGGCAGGTGCTTCTCCTCTAATAAAGCCTGTAGTCCTGGTTTTAGGCCTCTGTTTGATTTTTCACTAACTTTGCACGCAGAGTGGGTCTGCAGCTATCAGTGAGGATCCCAGTTTAATCACATGTCAGTGTCCCCATTCATCTTCGCGCTATCTGGGGGCTCATCTTTTTCCACCCTGTGGCATCATGGTGATTGATGATCCCGCACCAGTGCGCTGCTGGGTTAGCACAGCTCACAGTGGGTGCCCAGCTTCTCCGGGCTCTGCTGTCTGGGGCCAGCTAGGGCTGAGAGCATGTTTCTTTTAAGAAGCCTGTTAAGGACTAAATTGTGTCCCCTCCTCCCAAGTTCATATGTTGGAGCCCTAACTCCCAAGGTAACTGTATTTGGAGCCGGGGCTCTTACAGAGGTAATTAAGGTTAAAGGCGGTCATAAGGGTGGGGCCCTATCCCATAGGACTGGTGTCCTTACAAGCAGACTATGAGACGTCATAATGCTCTTTCCATGCACAGAGAGGAATGGTCCCTCGAGAACACAGTGAGATGGCAGCTACCTGCAAGCCAGGAAGAGAATCCTCCCCGGAAACCAAACTCACAGCACCTTGTAGACCTTGGACTTTTAGCTCTCAGAACTGTGAGAAAGTTAATATCTGCTGCGTAAGCCCCCTTGAGCAGACTGTGACAAGCCCTTGCTTCCTCCAGCCGGAAGTGTTTAAATCTACCAAACCGCCCCGCTGGGAATTCTGAGACCGCCTCAGGTTTGCCCTGACAGCCTTCAATAGGGTCCCAAATCCCTGCATGAGCTGCCTTGCTGACTGCGCCAGGTCCTCCAGAGGCGTCTCACATGTTCTTTGAGGCCTTCATTGAGGTCCCTCCGCTGAGAAGCCTTCTACCCTGGAAATCAGAAGAGCGCTCCGCCGCCCAAGTCCTCCCAGCACTTTCCTCTTTGCCATCTGAGGGGCACTGGGAGGAAGGCAAACATTCCACAGGCTGCAGCGGGGGACAGGGCAGCCCCGGCTCTGACTGGGGTGGAGGGGGGAAGGGTGCTGCCTGGCACCTGGCTGTGGACAGGTGACTCTCCCCGGCCATGTCCAAGGGTCCATTCCTCCTGCCTGTCCCTCACACCCAAGACCACAGGTGTAACTGGGCATTGAGGAATCTGGAAAGAACTCCACCCACAGACTGAGAGGTCCTGCCTGGGTCTTGGTTTGCAGGCCTGGATAGGGAACAAGAGGATGTCGCTGCTGAGCTTTGCAAGTGCCTAGAACCAGGGCTGGGCTGGAGGGAAGGAGAATGATTCCTGACAAACCCGTCCTGCTGCCCCCAGCCCCGGGAAGGGGGAGGCGGGGGCTGCTGAGATGCCCCCTATTGAGAACGTCACCCCACCCACCACTTTGCATTCTGGGGGAAGGGAATGGGAGCCACTTGTCATTGTCCCTGAATACTGGCTGGCAGGAGGCCCAGGGAGGGGCCTCCCCAATAGGAAATCTGCAGCTGCCTGTCTTTAAGGTAAAATTACCGTAATTACTCCAATTACCAAATCCATCAAGAGCTTTGGACTGAGGAGGCCCGTGAACAATCGGATCTGAGAAGCGTGACTCATGCGGGTGGGGGCACAGAGCCTAGGAGGGGGCGGCGATTGATGTTAGACTAGGCCCTTGATTGGGGTGGGGGTGGGGAGATGCAGAGAAATCATGATTCGCTGAGACCCCACTTTGCTCCCTCCCTGAGATTTTTCTCCGGCATTGAAAAGAAAGAAGGCCTCTGGCTCTTCTGTTTCCCAGGACTCCGAACCCACCGGCTACCTGCCTTGTACCTCTACCTCCCCTGAGAGTCCAAAGCCAGAAAACCAGGAAGGAGGCTGGCATCTCCTAGCCTCTCCCTCGGCGCCAGGCCCTTCCCACCCAGGAGCAGGTCCGGTCCCGTTTTACAGATGTGGGTCTTGGGCCTTTCCTCTGGCCTGGGTGCTCTGGGGGCCAGAGCCTGGGCGCGATTTGCCTCTGTACCCCTCACCGCAGCGCCGCCCCATAAACCTGTGCTTGGTGCACACTCAAGAGATATTTGGTATGCCCTGACCGGTTTGGATCAGTGGATAGAGTGTCAATCTTCGGACTGAAGGGTCCCGGGTTCGATTCCGGTCAAGGGCATGTGCCTTGGTTTCAGGCACATCCCCAGTGGGGGGTGTGCGGGAGGCAGTTGATAGATGTTTCTCTCTCATCAATGTTTCTAACTCTATTCCTCTCCCTTCCTCTCTGTAAAAAATCAATAAAACATATTTTTTTTAAAAAGAGATATTTGGTAAAGGAAATTAATTTCGTGTGTTATGGTGAAAACAGCTAACTGGACATGGTCCCTTGAATCACCCCATCTCTCCCCTCCCGTGCCTGCTCCATCCAAACTGCAGCCTGGACACTGTACCTCCATGGAATACAGTTGTGACCGCCGGGCCCAGCCCGCTGAGACAGAGGGGTGGCCCCGATCAAATGATTTCCATGCTGTGGAGTTAGGTGTGCTTCACCACAGTTTAAAATACCCACATAATATTTACCGCTTTACAGTTCAGTGG